GTAAATAATTTATTGGTGGGAAATTATTCAATTACGTATTTGGTTTGAAACTAGAAGCCCATGTAAGAGATATATATAATTGTCAGTATAATTAAAGGAAAATTCTCATTGATTCTTAATGGAAGAAATTTTCTTATTTTGAGATGTCAAATTGAGGTTAAAATAGAATATTTTAGACAGAATTATTAAAATTACTGGTTTGAAAAATTAGTTATGGGACACAGATTATTAAATTTTGACCATATAAAAAATTTATGAATGAAAACATATAATTATGTCTCTTAAGGCAGTTTAATGACAAATTCATAGTCATGTATAAACTATGCATTGGTCATTAGTGTAAAAAAAGCTATCAGAATTTATAATTTATTCATGGTACATTGATTCTTTACACTTTTTTTTCCCAGGGGTAGATACATATATATTATTGATTTAATTGTAATGAAAATTTGTACATTTAATAACTGTAGAATTCAATAATGGAAATAGATTAACTACGATTAAATACATGGTTAACTTTTTCTCACAAGTCTTATATATTGTGTAATAACACCTTTATCAGCTTTCACAGTATAAAAAACTTAATCCTTATATTAGGGATATTTCATCATAGTTTTTGGTTATAGATCAAATTAACTTTAGTGTAAACAGTTATAACTTGTACCATGCATGTGTTCAATATATCATGAAAAATTCAAAATGAGAACAGTTGATGAAAATTACATCATTTCTGTTTTGATCATGGAAAATGAAGTTCTATATTTTGTTTAGATGCTTTCATGAAATTCAGGATGAATTCTTCAAAATCAAAACCATTAAGATATGGATCTTATATATCTAAACAAATTTTAACAGGTTTAAAAGGTAAACATTTACATGGTTTAGATGTGATTTAATACTTCCTTAAAGTGCAATGTCTGTGCTTTTTATACGACCGCAAAAATTGAAAATTTTTTGGTCGTATATTGGTATGACGTTGGCGTCGTCGTCGTTGTCGTCGTCGTCGTTGTCGTCGTCGTCGTCGTCCGAAGACACATTGGTTTTCGCACTCTAACTTTAGTTTAAGTGAATGGATCTCCATGAAATTTTACCATAAGGTTCAATACCATGAAAGGAAGGTTGGGATTGATTTTGGGGGTTATGGTACCAACAGTTAAGGAATTAGGGGCCAAAAAGGGGCCAACAATAAGCATTTTTGTAACTTCCAGACAATAACTTGTGTGTAAGTGTATGGATCTCTCTGACATTGTACCACAAGGTTCCATATCACAAAGGGAAGGCTGTAATTGATTTTGGGGGTAATTGCCTCAAAATGTTAGGAATTAGGGGCCAAAAAAGGGGCAAAAAACAAGCATTTTTCTAGTTTCATGACAATAACTTGTGTGTAAGTGTTTGGATATTTCTGAAATTGTACTACAAGGTTCCATATCACAAAGGGAAAGCTGGAATTGAGTTTGGGGGTAATTGCCCGAAACGTTTAGGAATTGGGGACCAAAAAGGGGCCAAAAATAAGCATTTTTCTAGTTTCCAGACAATAACTTGTGTTCAAGTGTATGGATCTCTCTGAAATTGTACTGCAAGGTACCATACCACAAAGGGAAGGCTGAGATTGAGTTTGGGGGTGATGAATCATAAGGGGGTTCAAAAAATTTTGGGGGGGGGATTTTTTTTTTTCTTTTTTTCCTTTTTTTTTTCTTTTAAAATTTTCCATTTTAAGTTGGTTATTTCTGATTTATATTTAAAAGCAAATAATAATGATATGGTAGGAGATACACACCAAACAGGATGTGTAAATTATTATATAATAAGTATTGTGCAATAGCAAGAAATTTTCAATTGCACAGTATTGCACAATAGCAAGAAATCTTCAATTGCACAGTATTGCGCAATAGCAAGAAATCTTCAATTGCACAGTATTGCGCAATAGCAAGAAATATCCAATAGCACAATATTGCGCAATAGCAAGAAATTGTCAATTGTACAGTATTGCGCAATAGCAAGAAATAATCAATTGCACAGTATTGTGCAAAAGAAGATACTTCGTATAAATTGCTTATTTCTTGATCAATTTCAATGGGGTTTTATTCTTGAATTCTTGGGGTTCTTTAATATGCTGAATCTAACCGTGTATTAAGTTTTTGGATTTTGGGCCCCGTTTTTAAATTGGTCCACATTGAGGTCCAAAGGGTCCAAAATTTTACTTTGTTCAAAAATTGAATTATTGGGGTTCTTTGATATGCCGAATCTAACCGTGTATTTAGATTCTTAATTTTTGGTTCTGTTTTCAAATTGGTCTACATAAAGGTCCAAAGGGTCCAAAATTAAACTTAGTTTGATTTCAACAAAAATTGAATATATGGGGTTCTTTGATATGCTGAATCTAACCATGTATTAAGATTTTTGATTATGGGCCCAGTTTTCGAGTTGGTCCAAATCGGGGTCCAAAATTAAACTTTGTTTGATTTCAACAAAAATTGAATATATGGGGTTCTTTGATATGCTGAATCTAACCATGTATTTAGATTTTTGATTATGGGCCCAGTTTTCAAGTTGGTCCAAATCGGGGTCCAAAATTAAACTTTGTTTGATTTCAACAAAAATTGAATATATGGGGTTCTTTGATATGCTGAATCTAACCATGTATTTAGATTTTTGATTGTTGGGCCCCGTTATCAACTTTGTCCACATTGAGATCAAAAGGGTCCAAAATTAAACTTTGTTTGATTTCATCAAAAATTGAATATATGGGGTTCTTTGATATGCTGAATCTAACCATGTATTTAGATTTTTGATTATGGGCCCAGTTTTCAAGTTGGTCCAAATAGGGGTCCAAAATTAAACTTTGTTTGATTTCAACAAAAATTGAATATATGGGGTTCTTTGATATGCTGAATCTAACCATGTATTTAGATTTTTGATTATGGGCCCAGTTTTCAAGTTGGTCCAAATCGGGGTCCAAAATTAAACTTTGTTTGATTTCAACAAAAATTGAATATATGGGGTTCTGTAATATGCTGAATCTAACCGTGTATTAAGTTTTTGGATTATGGGCCCCGTTTTTAAATTGGTCCACATTGAAGTCCAAAGGGTCCAAAATTTAACTTTGTTTGATTTCATCAAAAATTGAATTATTGGGGTTCTTTGATATGCCGAATCTAACCGTGTATTTAGATTCTTAATTTTTGGTTCCGTTTTCAAATTGGTCTACATAAAGGTCCAAAGGGTCCAAAATTAAACTTAGTTTGATTTTAACAAAAATTGAATTTTTAGGGTTCTTTGATATGCTGAATCTAAACATGTATTTAGATTTTTGATTATGGGCCCAGTTTTCAAGTTGGTCCAAATCGGGGTCCAAAATTAAACTTTGTTTGATTTCAACAAAAATTGAATATATGGGGTTCTTTGATATGCTGAATCTAACCATGTATTTAGATTTTTGATTTTTGGGCCCTGTTATCATTTTTGTTCACATTGAGATCAAAAGGGTCCAAAATTAAACTTTGTTTGATTTCATCAAAAATTGAATTCTTGGGGTTCTTTGATATGCTGAATCTAACCATGTATTTAGATTTTGGATATTGGACCATAATAGGTGAATGTCCAATTTAAAATTTTTAAGTTCTTAGACCACATTCATTCTGTGTCAGAAACCTATGCTGTGTCAAATATTTAATCACAATCCAAATTCAGAGCTGTATCAAGCTTGAATGTTGTGTCCATACTTGCCCCAACTGTTCAGGGTTCGACCTCTGCGGTCGTATCAAGCTGCGCCCTGCGGAGCATTTTATTTCCAATGTGAATACTAATTTCTATGGTTTTTATGGCTCATATATATAACATGTTCATGATTAACAACATTAACAAGCCCTATGGCCCATGCAAGTAAACAACTTGACCGGTAAAAATATTTTACTGTAGAAGAAAAACTTCCTATTAATTGCATTGATATTACAAACCTCTTTTAAAAACTCTTAAGCACAGCTACTGGTGACTATCATAGTGGTCTATACATAGAATGCTCTTCAGAGTATAAGGTCAAGAGTTTCAATCCTTGGCTTGGTCAAACCCTAAGACTTGAAAATTGAAATCTGCTGCTTTTCAGCAAAACATGTCAGAATAAGAACAAAGACTGGATGACACAGAGACAGAGTAATTCATGTGTCCAGGCAGTGTGACATGTCTAAATGCGGCTACTTACATTGTTTCAGGTGACAGGTTCAAAATCTTACTACGGTATAAAGAACACTAACTACTGAGAAAATTTTTAAAAAATATTTTTTTATCATTTGTCCATATTAATAAATGGACTTGTTTTTATTAACAGTTTGATACTGTGACATGATTATAAGTGTTTCTTTCCACCAATTGCAGTTCATTTAAAATTCTGACCCAATTGCAATAGACTATGTTCATATTACCGACTTTTGACTCCGGATTTTATAATTTTTCGACAGGTTACACCTACTCTATGGTAGGACATCCTAGTACTTGGTCAGGTAGGAGCAACCAAAAGAAGTAAAATCAAACACATAATTGGTGCAATTTGGAGGAAAAGTTAACTGTTTCTGATGATTTTGTTGTGTATAGAAAACATTAAAAAAACAGTTTTCCCCAAAAATTTTACCGATTGTAAGCTTGATTTTACTTCTTTAAGTTGCTCATACTCGACCAAGTACCAGGATGTCCTTGTAAAAAGTAGGTAACCTGTCAAAAAAATATAAATTTCGGAGTCACAAGTAGGTAATATGAAAGTATAGAAATAAGGAGATGTGGTATGATTGCCAATGAGACAACTATCCAACAAAGTTCAAATGAAGTAGTCTATTTGTTTTATTAATTCAAACTGTTCAAGGGACATTCACCCCTTGTCATCATCATCATCCAAAAGCATGATATTTTATACGTTAATGTACTAAAAGAAAGATGGTAAGCATTACTGTTCCTACATTTAAACTGTGATTAATTAGTCTCTCGTCTGACATTTAATCTATATTTTTCAGTTAATGTAGTGGAAGCTTTACAAGAGTTCTGGCAGATGAAACAAGACAGAGGAGCAGATTTGAAGAATGGGGCATTAGTGGTATATGAATCTCAGCCTTCGTCCTCACCACCATATGTGTGCTTTGTAACATTACCTGGTGGTAGTTGCTTTGGTAGTTTTCAGGTATTCATTTAAGCTTACTTCAAAATCATATAAAATATTTAAGGCATCATCAAGTGTCTTTAGTCATAAAGTACTGATATTTGCATTCTTGAAAACCCTTCATTGGGTTGTAAGCTATCTCATATTGTTTGATGCATATTATAAAAATGTCCAGAGTTTCATAGTACCAGTACAATTTAGTATGTGCGCAAACATGAATTATTCAAACAAAAAAAGGATAGTTATTTTAAATCTGACACTAAATCAATATTACACAGTTGTTATTCATCAGTGTACAGTGTTGCAGACAAGTTGGGAGCTAAGAGAGTTCTGCACTGCAAAGTTTTTACATGAAGAAAAAGACCGTCACTGGACTACTGTTCCTATCATATGACAGGCATATTAACAAATGTATAATGGTAGAATCAAACATGTTTGTCATTGTTCAACCATTCCTTTACCCAGGCTGGTTGTGCATCAGCAAAACAAGACAACAAATTTAATAAAACTGAATCAGATTAATTTCATCAAATCAGTTGTTAGGTCAAAAACACTGGAAGAAATAATAAAAAAAAGACTAATGACTGAGCACCTCATTGAAGTGCTAAAAATTCTGAGTTACAATGATTAATTTAATTTTTATGCCCCCGCCGTAGCGGAGGGGGCATTAAGTTTTAGCCTTGTCCGTCTACGTACGTACGTCCCAAAATTGGTTTCCGTTCTCTAACTTTAGTTTGCCTCAACCAAATGTTATGAAACTTATACACAATGCTTATTACCACAAAACACAGATCAAGTTTGAATTTTGGTGGCGTCACTTTTACCATTTAGAGTTATGCCCCTTTACAAATGGAAAAATTGCTGAATTTTTTGTTTCTGTTCTCTAACTTTAGTTTGCCTTAACCAAATGTTATGAAACTTTTACACAATGCTTATTACCACAAAACACAGATCAAGTTTGAATTTGGGTGGCGTCACTTTTACCGTTCTAGAGTTATGCCCCTTTACAAATAGAAAAATTACTGAATTTTTCGTTTCCGTTCTCTCATTTTAGTTTGCCTCAACCAAATGTTATTTTATTTTAACTCATTTATATTTTATAGATTAATTGATTGATTGATGTTTGCTTTATGCTACTTCAGTACATGAACGTTATATATTTATAGAGTATTTAATGTATTCAGTATGGAGAGATATTTTGAATAAATTTGATTAATTATGATTCTAACATATTTTTTTAAAGTGAGAATGAATCCAAAGCTAACTTTACAGGGTAGAAGGAGTGAATGGTCGACTAAAAATTACTTGAGTTTTGAAAGTTGCAAAACTTAGATTATAACAATACTTTGCTGGTTGGGGATGAAAAATTTGATAATGATAAACTTGAGTTTAGTACCATCCAATTATTTTAGATTGACATAATGTAGAAGTATCTTTTAAAAACAATCATTATAATTATCCTTTACAGCATTGTCCTACAAAGGCAGAGGCCAGGAGAAGTGCAGCAAAGATAGCATTGATGAATTCTGTCTTCAATGAACATCCATCAAGGAAGATAACAGATGATTTTGTTGACCGATCTCTCAGAGATGCTGGTTCTGCATTTAAGGTATACATTCATGAGGGTCTAGGTGGAGATTTTTTTTGGGAGGGGGGTTGTCTTCATGTCTATTCTTTAATCTGTTTAGGCTAGTTTTCTTAATTAACTTATTGGTTTTGCTCAGTTCTTCTTCCTCTTCCGTCGCTTTTAAATTTGAACTTGTCTGCACCCGTTCTCCAAAAACGCTAGTCAGATTAACTTTGGATTCCATCAGGGTTTTGGTTGTGCAATGAGGTTTACTATAGAAGTCTATGGGATTTTAATTTTTATGCCCCACGTAGGGGCATTATGTTTCTGGTCTGTGCGTCCGTAAGTCCGTCTGTCCCTCTTCAGGTTAAATTTTTTAGTCAAGGTATTTTTTAATGAAGTTGAAGTCAAATCAACTTGAAACTTAGTACACATGTTCCATATGATATGATCTTTCTAATTTTAATTCCAAGTTAAAGTTTTGACCCCAATTTCAAGGTCCACTGAACATAGAAAATGATAGTGCGAGTGGGGCATCCGTGTACTATGGACACATTCTTGTTTTTATTTTCAAAATGATTATAACTTGAAAACAGTTAGTGATAGACATAGTCTTTATAATTGAAAATGTTCTACATGATAAAGCACATCAAATGAAATAAAGGGCTAGTTTCCAGGGGTCACCCCACCCCCTGTTATTTGAGAAAGTTCTAATATCATGTAAGTGGTCAAGATCCCCACATCTAAACCATATATATTCTGGTTTGTCATGATAAAGCACATCAAATGAAATAAAAGGTTAGTCCCCAGGGGTCACCCCCACCAAATGCCATTTGAAAAAGTTTTAATATCTTGTAAGTGGTCAAGATCTCCACCCCTGAAACCATATATATTCTGGTTTGTCTTGTAAAGATGATTTGAATGATTTACAGGGTTAGCCCCAAGGGGTCATCCCCACTCCCTGTCATTTGAATATGTTCAAATATCTTGTAAATGGTTGAGATCCCCACCCCTAAACCATATATATTCCTGTTTGTCACGTTACGACGATTTGAATGATATATAGGGTTAGTCCCCAGGGGTCCCCCACCCCCAATGATCTAACATCTTGTAAATGGTCAAAATCCCTACCCCTAAACCATATATATTCCTGTTTGTCATGTCACAAAGGTTTGAATGATATATAGAGACAGTCCCCAGGGGTCACCCCCACCCTCTGCCATTTGAGAAAGTTCTAATATCTTGTAAGTGGTGAAGATCCCCACCACTATACCATATATATTCTGGTTTGTTATGACAAGATGATTTGAATGATATACAGCGTTAGTCCCCAGGGGTCATTCCCACCCCCTGTGATTTGAATATGTTCAAATATCTTGTAAGTGGTCAAGATCCCCACCCCTAAGCCATATATTTTCTGGTTTGACATGAAACAATACATTAAATGAAATATAAAAGAAGTCCCCAGGGGTCATCCCCACTCCTATCATATGAGAATGTTCTTATACCTTGTGAATGGATAAGATCTGCAGCCCCAATCCATATAATATCTGCACGATGAATTGAATGAATTATAGGGGGAGTCCTTAGGCCAGTTAGGGGATTATACTTGAGGGGACTTTGTTTGGGAGACTTCGTAACAGCATCCTGCTACAATCAATTCTTGTTACCAATTATTCTCAATTCTCATTTCTGTAAAACCACAGCCAGATCCCCCATTCATTTAAAAAGTAAGTTTTTTGTAAAACTAACAACTCGGAAAATTAACTAAGGGTCTATCTGGTGAAAGATACTACTTAAACGGGACCAAGAGTCATGTAAAACAGGAAACCTAACATCAGTGATTTCTTGTCCAGATTATGTGAAATTTGCTTTCAGAAATTGACAATTTTAGTGAAAGTTTAATTTATTCAAAGTAACATAAATATTTTACAAAAGAAAGCTGTTTCTTTATGTGATAGTAAAATTTCATTGTACACTTTAAGAGGAAATGTTGAGAAAAGTAGAACATTGAACTTAAGTATGGTATTGTTTGACCCAGTTAATGACACACTTCTTTTTTGGTCTTGTAACTCTATAATTCAAAAGAGAACCAGAAAGGATAGACACATTTTGTAAACAGTCTTGAACATAAAGAAGAAACAACTGGTTTCAGTGTGTTATAATCATTTCCTTAGATTTTTGATATTTTACCCCATGTGTTGAAGATCCATTGGTGGCCTTGGGCTGTTTTCTGCTCTTTGGTCGGGTTGTTGTCTCTTAGACACATTCCCCATTTCCATTCTCAATTTAATTTACAATTTAACAATCCAAGATATGAGACCATTTTCTTACTTTATAAAATTGAGAATTGGAAATGGGGAATATGTCAAAAAGACAACAACCCGACCAAAGAGCAGACAACAGCCGAAGGCCACCAATGGGTCTTCAATGCAGCGAGAAAATCCCGCACCCGGAGGTGGTCCTCAGCTGGCCCCTAACTAAAATTGTGTGCTAGTTCAGTGAAAATGGACGTCACACTAAACTCCAAAACATATAAATGAACTAAAATTAAAAAACATACTAGACTAACAAAGGCAAGAGACTCCTGACTTGGGACAGGCGCAAAAATGCGGCAGTGTTGAACATGTTTTGTGAGATCTCAACCCTCCCCCTATACCTCTAGCCAATGTAGAATAAAGAAACACATAGCAATACGCACAGAAAAACTCAGTTTAAAAGATGTCTGAGTTAGATGTCAGAATCGGTAACAAAAGAAACTAAGCAAAATGACAATGATACATAAATGAACAAAGGACTACTAGCAGTTACTGACATGCCAGCTCCAGACCTCAATTAAACTGATTGAAAGATCATATGAAAATCAAGTACAATCCCTCCCGTTAGGGGTTTAGTATCATACTTGCATAGCTTGCAAAAAGAGGTCCCCTCAAATTTGTGAATGACTCTTAGTCAGGATTTGACAATCAGGTTAATTTGTATTCATCATATAAACTCCCCCACTTCATGCACTTCTTTCACTGCAGAATTACATTTTTAAATGTACTGCATATCTTTTTTTTATAGGGTAATTCAAGTGAAGAGAATAATCCTGCCACTGGTATAGGAGCATTTAAATTCATGTTGGAGTCAAATAGAGGACGCACAATGTTAGAATTTCAAGAACTCATGACTGTGTTTCAGTTACTACATTGGAATGGAAGTCTTAAAGCAATGCGCGAAAGAAACTGTTCACGGCAAGAAGTATTGGCACATTACTCGAATCGTGCACTGGACGATGATATGCGTTCTCAGATGGCGCTGGACTGGATTGCCAGAGAACAGGAAAAGCCGAATATTATAAAACAAGAATTACAGATCGCAGAAAGAGAACTAGAACATGCTAGATTAGCAGGACGAGAACTGAGATTTTATAAAGAAAAGCGAGACATTTTGGTGCTGGCTTTAAGTCAGATTGGTCCTGCTGAAAGCATTGCATAATATTGTCATTTCTCTGTATTAGGACGGCATGTACTCATATTTAACTCTATGCAGACTTTTCTTTTTCGGGAGTTACCAGTTTCCATACTTGTATACAAAGATTTTGGACTCAATAACAATGAAAACTGGTGTCATGTGTAAGATCATTTCCATTGTATAAGTATAAGATTATAAATATGGATGCAAAATTCATATCAGTTAACCTGTAATTTGTAAACAATTACTTCAGTAATACTTCGAACAAGATAATATAACTATACATGTACTATGATAATTTTAGGAATCAGTTGTAGAAAGAGTTATAAGAGATGCAACAATATGCCTGCTATAATAATTTAAAATGTTTGTACAATAGCATGTTACCATTTCCACTACATTACAATCGTAAATTTTGATATTTTCTATATATATATATATCGCCCATTTAGTCACGCAAAAACATGAGCTTTAGTATGAAAAATTCAGTAAATTGTTCATTCCTTAGACTGGGAAAAATCAAAATAGTTGATTGCATGTTATTAATTAATAAATGGTTCTTTCACAGATCAGTACAGTAATCAACAAAAAAATTATTTCTTATTGAATTGTGCAATTTATTTTCATCAGAAAAAAATGAAATTAAAACAGCCAGTCTCTGGCCACTGTTTTAGGGCAAAATCTTTAGCCATTTTCATAGGGGTGGAAGGTATGCTGTGTTTTGAAGTAGGATGAAAATAATAAGATCTATTGTAATATGTAAATCATAGAATCCCAGAAATTTTCACAATAATATCAAATCAAACAATTCTTTTTTAACAATTATTTGTAGAATATCAAAATCCTTTGTTTCATTATGGTACTTTAAGAGGCATATCTGTAATATAATAAGTTTGATTATTTCACATGAAAAAGTGGCATATATGGAAGATATTTAGTAGCAATGCATTTATTTTGTCCATTTATGAACTTAGTTGTCTTGTTAAATAACATTTCTAGTCTTTTGTGGTACTTAAATCTCTTAGTTGGAAAGATTTTTTTTATAAATACATAGATATAAAAATCTTTCAAAGCAGAAGAAGAATTAGTATAAGTACTGTTAATAGCTATGAATGGTATATCTTATTAGATGAGAGAGACTCATGAATAGTAGTAAGAAAACATGTTTTATATAAATTTAGCCATATGAGGTGGCAGTTTTTGCAAAAACTGTCAACATACTTACAATACATACCTCATTTGTATATATATGTGAGCATTATTCATATTTTCTATGCATTAACCACTCATGTACAGTTTCAATGCAAATCATGATACAATGTTCTAATATAGATAAAAGTCTGCTTCTATACAACAGTATTTGTTTATTTTCTACAATATAGATCCTATAAATCAGCCATATATAGGCAAACATGACATTTTCCATTTTATTATTTGTTTTTGTTTAATTATTAACTTAAAATGTACTGTTTTTGCTGCTTTTGACGCACATAAGTTTAATAAAAAAGATCCAACCAATTTAGCAATGTTTTGGAATAATTGTGAAGAAGCAAATTGAAATAGAAACTTTTTGGTACTCTGACCTAATGTTGACCTCTAGATGTTGTTTTGTATTTTTTGTGTCATTTGATTGTTGGCTCTATGACAGTCATTTTGGGGTAATTTAAGGGTAAATTGTCATTTAATCATTTTAGCTTTCATTTTTTCCTAAAAGTAGCTTTAATTTGTCAGTCAGTTAGAAAACTGTTAAGATATTAACAAATTTTTTCAATACTTTACCAGAATTTAGAACTCATAAAAAAATGTTTGAAAAAGTGCAGTTTTAGTTTTAGTATCAAGTATAGTGCTTCTAATATTATATTCATCATAATGTTTTATTCTAAAAATAAATAAGCTTATTCATCGCTTTGCAAGAAATGTTAACAAGTCAAAAATTGTCCTGATGAGTATTGCCTGGGAATTTTCATGCTTTTTGAAGAATGTGTTGTGCATTTATATATTATTTAGATTGATATTACTTGTAAGAGCAAGACTATATGTATGTAGTATCTTATTGTGGTGAATGCAAGTTTAGTTTCAATTTAAGCTGATGCAAATACACATCCTTTTATCTACACTTTGCTTACAAGAATTGGTCAATTCTCCATTCTATTTTTTATTTTGATAATCACCAATGAAATTTCTGCATCCAATGTTTTGAAGGTGTTCAATACTACAGCATGTACTGAGAATCCCTAAAAAGTATTCAGACAGAAAGTAAATGGAGCAATGTCAGATTCTTGTAAGAGAAGCATGGACATACGATTTGTATTTTATGAGAGGAAATTACAGTAGTTTTAATTTTACTAAACAAATAAGAAACTCTTGTTTTTTTATGGCATAGAACTAGATAAAAATAAAAATCATTCATAAGACAGGAATATTTTATATATTAATAAAAAAAGACGTGACAAAGGTGTACCCAAGGAGGATGGGTTATATAAAGTTACATGGTTTGTTGATTTTACCCCAGTATTTGATACTAGGAAATGTCAGAACAAAAATAAAAACCAGATAACATATCATAGCATGTCATATGGAAAGAAAAATGAACAAAAATTGTATATATACAAGTCACATTTTTGCTGCAGATCAGGGATTTTGCTTACAGAGATATATTTGGGACCGTTTCATCTTTGATATTTTGATGGCAGCAGCACATCAGAAAAATGTGAAAACAAAAAGATATAAATAGTTATAGAAAAACAACAAAAATGGAAAACTTCTAAAAAGAAAAGTTCCCAGAAGCAAATCATGAAAATAACATTTCACAAAAATTCTTTGATATACAATATAATTGGTCCTACTTTGAGTTCATAATTTGATAAGCAAATGTTATGATTTTTTGCAATTGAGATAAGATGCTATGTGATATGGTGTTTTATAAAGATCCTATTGACAGCTTCAGATCTTTGTATATAATATAGGTTGATCAAAAGATTTAGACACTTAGTTTGAGTCAGACGAACAACATTTAACATGCCTAGTGAGGGGTAATCATTCCTAGAAAGCATGAGTAAATGTATATTATTTGATGAATGAATTTTATACAAAACAAAAGTTATCCTTTCTTTGTCTCATATTCATATTTTGCTGTTTATTTGGAATCCTTTATTTTTATATTGATGTCGCTATTTATTGTATATTTTTTATATTATGTATATATCATAACTTTGTACTACTTTTTCATGCAAAACCTCTTTTAACTTCATACTTAGTGCAATATTAAAATATTTGTTGTGTAAATATGTGGATAAAATTTGTGTCTCCTAGCTAAGGTTGTATAAAAGTCTTTCATTCAGCCTTTGTAGCTAAATATACTGTATCAGTTTTCAACAAAATCCAGAGGGAATATAAGATTTTTAAACAAATATTCAATTGATATTAGAAAAAAAATGTTTAAATACAGAACTCTTAATGCTAGTATACACATGAATTGAGAAAAACCTAGAAAATAGATAACATTTTTCTTCATATGTAAAAACTATTTGCTTTAAAGGAAAACCATCATGATATATACTATCTTTTTATCTATAAATTTCCTTATTCAGATTTGGACTGAAAAATAAGATAATTGAAATGCAATTTAAATTTGAGCACCAAAAGGATACATCTTATAATATCTCTTTCTAAAAAGCAAAAAAATAATTTTTCTTTCCCTGTATCTGCACTTGAGTAAGATTTCAATAGAAATCAATTTGTCAATTTCCCTGACATACTCAACCAAGAATGTCAACTATTAAATTCAGTGTAAAACTTTATTGTGGTAAGGGAGATAATCCTCTCTATTAAATGACTTACCTAAGCTTAAAGGTACAGGGGTGGATCCAATCATTTTTAAAAGGGGGGTTCCCAACCCAGGATAAAGGGAGGGTTCCAACTATATGTCCCCATTCAAATGCATTGATCGTCCAAAAAAAAGGGGGGGGGGGGGTCCAACCCCCCCACCCCCCTGGATCCACCACTGAGGTACATCTAATGGTAGTTATAACTATTAAGAACAGCTAGGTTATTCAAGACCAACAGTAACAAGAATCAACCTTTCATACAGTAATTTTAAATATAAAACAGTTATCAGGTTGAAAGACACTTCTGTTGTTTTTTGCTGTTTTTTTTATGTAACTGTTTCTTTTGATGTTTATATATTCACATATATATTTAGTTTATATCATGGCATAATATGAAACCATCAGAGTAACTAACAGAATCAAATAAAAATATCTTGCCAAATTTTTGTATTTTATTTCATTAGTACATCTTTATCAGCAGTGTATATGTTCGTTCATCGTTCATTGGTCAATGTTAAGTTTGCTGTTTGGAGTGTCTTAGATACTATAAGCAAATTTGTCAATGTCTATATTTGGTGTATAAAATGATGAATTAAGTAATTGGTAAACTATATTTATTGTATGGAATGATTGCAAGGTGAACATGTCTGTCTGGTAGGGTTAATCCTAGACATCATTTTTACAGTTTATTGTAAATATTAAGATTTCATGGCTGAGTTATGTTTGCTAGATAATAAATAAGCAGTAGAACTATATTTGGTGCATGAAATCATTAAATGGTGTACATATCTCTTTGGCAGTTTTCATCTGACCTCGGGTTTGACTTCAATTTCATTGATTATTGGTCAGCTTTGAGTTATGGTGGTAAGGTCTGTTTCTTAGGTACTATTAGTATTAGCTTTAATTTATTTGGTGTATGAAATGATTGTAAGGTTTAAATATAAAAAAGGAGATGTGGTGTGATTGTCTATGAGACAACTATCCACCAGAGGCTAAACAATGTGGATGTAAGCAACTATAGGTCACGACACAACCATCAACAATGAGCATAACCAATATGGTGTAGTAAGATATAAAAGGCCCAGACATGACAAAATGTAAAATATTTCAAGTGAGAAAAACTAACTGCCTGATTAATGACAAACCAACAAACTAAATTTAAAAAATATTCGTAAGGGTTCCGGGGAACCCAGTGTCTCGCCTACTTTTGCTGTTGTCTATGTTTTCAGTGTGATAGGGGAATGCACATAATAGATTTACAGTTAATGAAATAAAAGTTTTAAATTTATGAAAAAAGTTATGCCTGTAAAAAATGAAGACAATCAAATCTATAGATTTATAAAAGAGTTGAAACATAAATTTATTGAATGAACAAATGATAAAGAAGATAAATTTTACATTTTCCTCTAGATACTATATTTTGATTGTAAGAAGCTTCTGTCCAAGTTTGGTAAAAATCCAGGATGGTTTATGAATCTAATAAATGTTTTAAAAACTTTAACTGCAGACTGTATGTAATTGTTAACTGGAAGAAAAACTAAGTCCATATACGTAAAAACAGGAAATAAATTTTTACAAAATTTCCTTCTAGATACTAGCTTTTGATCATAAACAAGCTTCTGTCCAAGTTTGGTACAAATCCAGGATAGTATAAGAAAGTTATTAAAATTTTGAAAACTTTTACCACAGAGTGAATGTAATGTTAACTGGCAGAAAAACTAAGTCCATTTATAAGTAAAATACGGATAAACAGGATTTTTTTTTTTACAAAATTTACTTCTGGATACTATCTTATGATCATAAACAAGCTTCTGTCCAAGTTTGGTAGAAATCCAGGATAGTTTAAGAAAGTAATTAAAATTTCAAAAACTTTAACCACAGAGTGAATATTTGTGGACGCCGCCGCCGACAGAATGTAGGATTGCTATGTCTCGCTTTTGCGACAAAAGTCGCAGGCTCGACAAAAAAGACAAATAACAACCTGTATCTTGAAGGGTTTATCTGCCCTTTCCTCATTTTAATTGTTCATTTGTAAATGTTAAGATTTCATGATAAGGTCCATGTCTTAGATACTATAAGCATTAGTGTATGGAATGATTGTAAACTAGTAAAGTGTACATGTCAGTATGACAGGGTTCATCTGACCTTGCACACATTTATTAATAATGATTAAAGTTTTTTGATACTTGTAGTAAAACCTTTATCTGAAAGGCTTTCAATATAAATTCAATCATGATTAGTAAAACAGGCGAGACATTTCAGCATGTGCACTCTTGTGTTAAATTTGGATAAAAAATGATGAAAGCTAGGATCGACCCTTCCCCCCTCTTTTCCTGGTGTAACTCCATTGAATCTCTCCTTTAAATATTCTAAATTTGCACCTGCACATGGTATCTACTAAAGGAGTAAATTCGGTTAGTGCCATATTTGGCCCCGATTATTAATTTTAATGTTTCAAGATATAAAATGTTTTACGTTGATTAAAAGACATGTGAGAAAGTTAAATATAACTATTTTATTCAATGTTCGTTTTTAAAGGGTTGATTTTTAAATCCCAAATAGGTCACAAATAGAGATTTTTTTCGAAATTTGACAAAATCAGCCAGATTTCAACCGAGTTAAAGCCTAGGAAACATAGAGCGCAGGCGTCAACAAACTAAATATTCAAGTTAGACATGTAAAATGACATAACAAACATTATTTTAAAAGCTTTTTTTCTGTCGAAGTATGCACGCTATGTTTCCTGTCCAAAAATCAATGGAAATTGACCCGTTTTCATTGAATATTCGTTGAAAATCAAAATGAGTGCTATTTGTGACATCATGAATAGAACACAAGTATGTAAATTTTCAACAAAAAAACATATTTCCTATCTAGTCACTGTATTAGCTATGATTCATTGTAATATTGGTCAATACATCCCCAATTTGAAATATTAGCTAAAAATAAGGGCCATTTTAGGGCCTTATCAAACCTACTCCTTTGAATTCAAATTGAAATGGATTATCCTGCAAGACAATTTTTTTTCAGAATTATGCTGGATGAATTAAGGCTGTAATATGACTGCTAACAGAGTGACTGAGTCTCAAGTTGTCAGGAAGTTGTCTCGTTTACCCCTCATCTCTCTTTTATATATATATATGAATGAAATACCAGAATTTACCTTTTTCAATGCAATAATTGAAAATAATATTCACAAATTTCAAGTTAAGGAACTTTACTATGACTGACCTCAGTTAATTTCCAATTGAAATAATGATGCTTGCAAAACAATGACTTGTATATGTAAGTGACATCAAATTGTTTCTGTTGTGTAAATTTTTTCTGCAGAACAATATGGTCACTGTAAAAGTGATCGAGTGTAACTATCAATAAAATTAAACTTAACCCGAATAATTCAGTCGTTATATTCCGCTGGTGTATGGTAGCTACATTTGTGGGAGAGTGAGAGATGATCATGGGCAGGGAATGAATTATTCAGGTTAAAAAGACAACTAAATTATGATTTCAGGGATAGTTTTTGAATACCCTTAAATTTCCCTCTTACTGATTTAAATTGAACAGTCATATGTTGATTGTTTCAAATGTTTGTCTGGTAATGTTCGCAAATACTGAGTCATTTGGTTTAACATTCAAATTATGTTATGTAGAATTTTCAATCTGGTTCAAGTGTTATGAAAAAGAAACTGAAGACTATAATAACTGTTGTGATTTGGTCAAAGTGAAAGTGAAAGTAGAGTTGTCTTTCTTTGGTCAATGTCATTTTGCCACGTCAACCTCCAGGTGGCAGTAACAACAAACATGGCTTCCATTAGGGAGAAACAAGTTCTTGCTCTGAAACGAATGCTTAATTTTAACACCCCTCCAACAAAATCAAGCTCAGCAGAGCCACAATGGAAAGTGCTCGTCTATGATAGGTTTGGTCAAGACATAATTTCGCCATTACTGACCGTCAAAGAACTCCGCGAGTTGGGAGTAACTCTTCACTTGAATCTTCATTCTGACCGGGATTCTATTCCAGATGTTCCGGCTATTTATTTTGTTTTACCAACTGATGACAACATAAGAAGAATATGTCAAGACATTCAGAACCAACTGTATGACTCATATTACATGAATTTCATATCTGCTATTTCTAGACAGAAACTTGAAGACATTGCCCAAACAGCTATTCAATGCGATTGTGTTCAACAGGTTTCTAAAGTTTTTGATCAATATTTGAACTTTATTTCATTAGAAGAAGACATGTTCACCCTAAGAAATCTTGACAAAGAACTTTCATATTATGAAATAAACAAAGGTGATGTCAAAGACACTGAAATGGAACAAATCATGGATACTATTGTTGATAGTTTGTTTTCCGTTTTTGTAACACTGGGTACAGTGCCCATCATTTGCTGTCCAAGAGGTAATGCTGCAGAAATGGTTGCAGAGAAATTGGACAAAAAGTTGAGAGAGAATCTAAGAGATGCGAGGAACAGCTTTTTTACTACAGACAATATACAGGCTGGACAATTTAGTTTTCAAAGGCCATTATTAGTTTTGCTGGATCGAAATCTTGATTTAGCCACCATGCTTCACCATACATGGACATACCAAGCATTAGCACATGATGTATTCAACCTTCTCCTGAACAGAGTAGAAATAGAAGAATCTATAGAAGTCAAAGGTCCAGCTGGGAATATGATGACAAAAAAGAAAAAGAAAAGTTATGATCTGAATCCGTCTGATAGATTTTGGGAAAAAGAAAAGGGCAGTCCATTCCCGCAAGTTGCAGAAGCTGTCCAAGAACAGTTAGAAACCTACAAGACACATGAAGATGAAATAAAGAAAATGAAATCTGCAATGGGTCTTGAGGGTGATGATGAAGTTGCATTCAGTATGATGAATGATACAACAGCTAAACTTACTTCAACAGTTAGCTCATTGCCAGAGTTACTGGAGATGAAGCGTTTGATTGACATGCACACTAACATTGCTACTGCTATGTTGGAACACATAAAGCACCGTAAACTGGATGTCTATTTTGAAATGGAAGAAAAAATGATGAGCAAGGCACTTTTAGACAAATCGTTGATGGATATTATATCAGACCCTGATTTAGGAACACCGGAAGACAAAGTCAGAATTTTTATTATTGCACTCATCTGTGGTCCACCCATGAGTGATGCTGAAATTGATCAATATTGCGTAGCCTTGACAGGTGCTAACTGTGAGGTAGCACCAATCTCGTTCATTCGTAGGTGGAGAGCTTATAATAAAATGAATGCAGCGCCAAGTCAATATGGAGGAGGTGGTACAACAACTGTAGGAATGTTTAACAAATTAATGAATAAAAGTTCACAGTTTCTTATGGAAGGAGTTAAAAACTTGGTTATTAAAAGGCACAATTTGCCAGCCACAAGAATTGTGGATGGACTCATGGAGTCAAAGACATTGCAAGAAATTGAAGACTATCGATATTTTGACCCCAAACTTTTACGCTCAGATTCGTCATCAGTTCCTAGAAACAAATCCCCATTCCAAGAAGCTTATGTGTTTATGATCGGAGGTGGGAATTACATCGAATACCAAAATTTAATAGACTATGCCAAATCAAAATCATCTTCAAGTGCTGGACAAAAGAGAATTGTTTATGGGTGTAGTCAGCTTGTAAATGCAGCAAGATTTTTAGAACAGTTGGGTCATCTTGGCCAAGAAATGTAAATTTATGGGGGGTTAAATAAATGTATTGTGAAATTAAATTTTAATTTATTCAGTTATTGTATTGAATCCTTTTTATACGACTGCATAAAATTTTTGGGGTCATATATTGGTATGACGTTGGCGTAGTCGTCGTTGTCAGAAAACACATTGGTTTTTGCACTATAACTTTAGTTTAAGTGAATGGATCTCTATGAAATTTTACCATAAGGTTAAATACCACAAAAGGAAGGTTGGGATTGATATTGGGGGTTATGGTACCAACAGTTAAGGAAAAAGGGGCCAAAAATAAGCATTTTCTAGTTTCCAAACAATAACTTGTGGAACGGTGTATGGATCTCTCTGAAATTATACCACAAGTTTCCATACCACAAACATGACAAAGGGATGGTTAGGATTTGCTTTTTGGGGTTATGGCTCAAACCATTTAGGAATTAGGGGCAAAAAAGGGGGAAAAATAAGGTTGTCCTGGTTAATGGACAAATACTTTAGTACAAAACATAATTTAAAGCAGTGTAAGGGAGATAAATCAAATATATCTTTTGAATTACCTCCCTTACACTGCTTTTAAATTATGTATAAAGTAATGGTTAATGAACAATTAAGACAATTTAAAACAGTGTAAGGGAGGTAATCCAAATACAACGTTTTGATTACTTCCTTTACACTGCTTTTAAATTATGTTTAAAGAAATGCATATTTATAAAGGAAGACCAGTAAAAATATCGGAAAATGTTGCATCTTTTTTTTTTTTACAAAAAAATCCATATGAAAGATTTGACACCATATTTTAAATTCAATTATAAAATAGATTAAGTTAGCACTATGGTAAATTTAAATGGGTAATTATGGTTGCAAATTCCATTGGAAATTTGAATTGAGATTATGACCATACATGTATCTTGAGGAAAAGAATTTTTTTGGGGAAAAAGAAGGGGGGGAGGGTCAATTTTTTCTCATTTCAGATTTCAGAAATTAAAAAGAATTATTCTTCAAATATTTTTTTTTTTTTTCAAATTTCAAATATTGAAAAATTTCAAGAAGTAATCTTTAATTGCACAGTATGGCGCATTAGATTTGTAAAATCTTTGACCTCATTTATTTATTTGTTATGCCAAATCTGACCATGTATTTAGATTTTTAATTTTGGGTCCAATTTTCAAATTGGTCTACATCAAGGTCCAAAGGGTCCAATATTAAACTTAATTTGATTTTAACAAAAATTATATGGGTTTCTTTGATATGCTGAATCTACATGTAAACATGTATTAAGATTTTTATACGACCGCAAAAAAAATTTTGTGGTCGTATATTGGTATGACGTTGGCGTCGTTGTTGTTGTCCGAAGACGCATTAGTTTTTGCACTCTAACTTTAGTTTAAGTGAATGGATCTCAATGAAATTTTACCATAAGGTTCAATACCACAAAAGGAAGGTGGGGATTGATTTTGGGGGTTATGGTACCAACAGTTAAGGAATTAGGGGCCAAACAGGGGCAAAAAACAAGCATTTTTGTAACTTCCAGACATAACTTGTGTGTAAGTGTATGGATCTCTCTGACATTGTATCACAAGGTTCCATAACACAAAGGGAATGCTGGGATTGATTTTGGGGGTTATTGCCTCCAAATTTTAGGAATAAGGGGCCAAAAAGGGGCAAAAAATCATTTTTCTAGTTTCATGACAATAACTTGTGTGTAAGTGTATGGATCTTTATGAAATTGTACAACAAGGTTCCATATTACAAAGGGAAAGCTGGAATTGAGTTTGGGGGTAATTGCCCAAAAAGTATAGGATTAAGGGGCCAAAAATAAGCATTTTTCTAGTTTCCAGACAATAACTTGTGTTCAAGTATATGGATCTCTCTGAAATTGTACTGCAAGGTACCATACCACAAAGGGAAGGCTGGAATTGATTTTGGGGGTAATTCCCTCAAAATTTTAGTAATTAGGGGCCATAAAAGGGCAAAAAAACAAGCATTTTCCTAGTTTCAGGACAATAACTTGTGTATAAGTGTATGGATCTTTATGAAATTGTACTGCAAAGTTCCATATCCCAAGGGGAAAGCTGGGTTTGAGTTTGGGGGTAATTGCCCTAAACGTTTAGGAATTTGGGGCCAAAAAACAAGCATTTTTCTAGTTTCCATACAATTACTTGTGTTCAAGTGTATGGATCTCTCTGTTATTGTACTGCAAGGTACCATACCACAAAGGGAAGGCTGGGATTGAGTTTCGGGGTGATGAATCATAAGGGGGTTCAAAAAATTTGGGGGGGGGGGATTTTTTTTCATTTTTTTTCTTTAAAATTTTCCATTTTAAATTGGTTATTTCTGATTTATATATAAAAGCAAATAATAATGATATGGTTTGAATAGGTAAATTAAAAAAAAATTAAGTCCTTAGACCACTTTCATTCTGTGTCAGAAACCTATGCTGTGTCAAATATTTAATTACAATCCAAATTCAGTGCTGTATCAAGCTTGAATGTTGTGTCCATACTTGCCCCAACTGTTCAGGGTTCGACCTCTGCGGTCGTATCAAGCTGCGCCCCAGCGGAGCATTTTATTTTGTTTGCAGTCATTGCAATATAGTTGGACAAGCATGTAATTTATTAAATGCTTGTACAACATGTACAATGTACATTATATATAAAAATAAGATGAGGTACATTGTATGATTGTTAATGAGACAACTCTCCCCCTGATACCAAATGACATAGAACCATATTATATAGAAAGAAATTGTAGTTAGCAAATATTGCACAAAAAATCTACAAATACGTCAATATGGCTAAAATGTCAACTGACTTCTAATAGGAGTTATTGTCTCTGAATGTTAGTTTTTTAACCATTTTATGAACTTGCAGAAACTATGATCGATATATAGTAAAGATTATATCTAAATAAGATCTTCAAATAAGTCAACATGGTTGAAATTGTCAATTGACTCTTTAGAGGGGTTATTGCCTTTGAAAGATATGTTTTCCCATTTTTGCGGAGTTTGCAGAAAGGAACAATTAAAAAAATTTCTTCCGTCAGGTCGGGTTCATCTGATCTTGACTTCATTTACATAGATCATTGATAATTTTAATATAAAAATAAGGAGATGTGGTATGATTGTCAATGAGACAACTATCCCCTAAAGTTCAAATAAAGTGGATGTAAGCAATTATGTGGAACCTACGGCCTTCAACAATTAGAAAAACCCATGCCGTAGCTATAAAAGGTCCCGACATGCAAAATATGAAACAATTTAATTGAGAAAACTGACCGCCTTATTTGGCGGGGTTGAAACATGTTTGAAGGCTCCACTTTTCCACAACCTGGGACAGTGGTTAGCAGTACCACATAAGAATAAACTATAAAATCAGTTAAAAGGGGCTTACATTTGTAACTCATCATATCGATACAAAGCAGACAAACCTCTACTAGTAACAAAAACACAGACCGGACGTGGAAGGGTATTTATACATCCCTCGCAACAAATATTAAAGATCTGAGAGTAACTGCCCTATCTATCAATCTTCACGTAGCTACCATGATAGAAACAAGATAATATCCCTGTAAAATTCAAATAGTAAATTTTAAATTTTGAAAATTTAAGGACAGAATATATAGGGAAAATCTGAAATGGACAAAAATGCTCACGCTCACGATGAAGAGATCAATTGAAACAACTATATCAATTAAAATTGTCAGATGGTTATAGTAAAAAGTTAACATGAATAGCCTCCCCAGTCTTATGGTAGTCTTTTTTGTTTTTGAGTGGTGGAGAGTTTGGGCCAAATCCCATGCTGGATTCAAACCAGTCGTGAAGATTTGAATTTGCTACTTCTCCACTAAGGCCACAAAGCATCCTGCAGACTCTTACTTTGTAAGTTAGCAAATTAAAAATACTACTCAGCCTATCAGTCTCGTACAAAGCAATGTTCGTTTTCGGTGGTCTCTTGCTCGCTTCAAGTGCCGAAGGTCCGCATGGCTTCGATCCGTGGTCGGGTCTAACCGAAGACTTATAAACTGGTATTAGTCTCTTCTCCGCAACATTAAGAGTAAAAAATTTTTTCAAACACACAGAAATAGCCAAATAAAATGAAGTTAGACTCACTACCAATAAAAAAACCTCTCTTAGTTTTGCCTTCATGAGTCTTTTGTGGCGTACACAATTTTAATCCTGGTATCTATATATGATGAGTTTATTTAAATGAAATAACATCAAACGAAAAAAAACTTTACTCATATGAAATTAGATGAGTCTTTGCACAGACATAGGCCTATACTTCCAATCAACAAGCTTAAGGCATTTCAACGGAACTATATAACAAAAAATGATACATAAAACGTATTTCTTTCCATAAATCAAACGAAGCTGGGAATAGTCTACTTATCAATATATTATGTCCCAGAAAGAAGACGACATTTTCTTTTAGATCTAGTGTTTGATATCACTAAAAAACGTTTTACAAAACTATACTGAGAACTTGTGTGTAGTGATTGTAATGACAACAGTCGTCATTGGTTTCCGTCCTACACATACCAGACGCAAGAATTTAGTAACAACAGTTCAACTACAATCTTTACTTTTATAGACAAGTTTTTAAAGCCATTCAATTCTTTCAAATTCAATATTTCCGTAATTTGACTGTATTTCGGATTCAGTTTTTCAGGAGCTATTAATCAGTTGATCGATCAGTAGAGTGACTGTTTTTCAGGCATTATGAAAATTCAAATGATTGAGATGAGTGTCTGGATGCGGTCTTCCATTTTTGTATTCTCTGTTTTGTTTTGGGACATTTTTCTTTATCTCTAAAAGTAACGCTTATTCTGTAAAAATTCTATTATTTTCCACATTTATTCTTTGTACTTTTACACCCTTTTATTCCCTATTCTTTTTTTGTTGTAGCTTATTTTTCTTTTTTGTCTGCCATTATTATCTATTCAGAATTTCTGTAAACCCGATCCAGACCCTCTTAGAAGGCAAAAATGTTCAGCTTTCATACTATTAAGAGTGAAATGATCACAGCAAAAAAACAAATAATTTCTAAACAAAAAATATTTGGACGCAAGTTTTGGTGTTGACTAGAAGCTTTCGTGTCAGTCGTTGAGACAGATATGTTCATAAGGTACGTGTGAAATTATTTTTTATTTCACCAAAGCCTGTATTTGTTACACATCAAATCAGAGTTATCTTTCTTATCTACTCGGGCCGTACAAATGAAATTGAACACGCTATATATTGAGAAAGAAAGGGTTGTGGCTGATAAAAGCGCAGAAGTCGTATTAGCGTAACAATGAGGCTATTAAAAATCAACGGCATTTTAGAACATTATTGAGTGGAAGAAGACAGGAGGTCATGACTGTTTGTGAAAACTTTTTCGGTGACGGGTCTAATTATTTCAACTTGAAAAGTGCAAAAAGTCTTAGAACGTTTCGTTTTTGTTTCGGCGAAAAGAGGGACTCTAAAATTCCAAAAACATGTACTAAATTTTTGCTTCTCGGTCCTTTCATCTGACATAATGTTAGGAATTATAAACCGTAATATAGGCCTTCAATGCATCAGTCACAATTCAGCTACAAGACAATTTGGACTTTAATATGACCCTAAACAGCACTCTATTACATGTTTTTCTTAAAGTAAAACCAAAAACTGCAAAACCTGTTATATTTTGATAACATATGCTCAATTCTCTGGTAATTTGATTAAAAACCTTACCAAACCATGAGTTACGAAATTCTGAATTGTAGATCGAATAATCGTATTTACGGATTAGAGTTTAACCTTTAGTTGGTATTACCTTTTAAAGAAAAGGTATATGTCAATGAAACGCAATGTGGGAAAAACAACGAATGTGCGGCCATTGATTTGACATTAACAACAATACAAATGACATTGATTATCAACACTTTGATACGTCTGATCATTTGATCAATCCTTTCTATAAGAGTAAGGCTAGCATAATTCAGGCAACAAAATATGCCACATCAGCACTATAAACAATCCTCGATATTATTTGATTGAAACGACAAAACTGAAGCTAAGTGTTTTATCTAGTCCATCATGCCTTCAACTCAATGAATGTGATGATGTGAATACCAACATATAAGTATCGACGGGATTTATAGATAACTGTAATTCAGTTGTTGTCATTTTTGTGATGTATATATCATATTTGTTTTTCATTTATTGTTTGTGCAATTTGTTCTTGTGTTGTTCTGTTGCACTACGATCCCAGGTTAGGAGAGACCCAACCATGTTTTACCTAGCTACATTCTATATGTGCCTGTCCAAAGTCACCTGGAATTTAGTGGTTGTCGTTTGTTATATAATATTAATTTAGTTTTTCGTTTGCTGTTTTGTACATAAATCAGGCCGTTGGTGTTCTCGTTTGAATTGATTTATGTTTTGCGATGTCGGGGCTTTTTATAGCTTGCTATGCGGTATGAGGTTTGCTTATTGTTAAAGGCCGGATGGTGACATATAGTTGCTTTAACATGTATGCCATTTTGTCTCTGATGGACAGTCGCTCATTAGAAATCACACCACACCTGTTTTATTTTACACTGGAGGTATTTCGAGACTAATGTGATCATGATGAAACAATTGATTTCTCAGTGAAAAAAATATATGATAATAGAGTGTATTCCTCTATATTCCTACTTTCTATGTGGATCAATTTTAAACATATAGATACTGGTAGTGTTTGGACGTACAAACATTATTCACGTTTTATTGATATGTTTTGTCTGTGTCAAATTTGATGCTATGAAGTGTCTTTTTGGGTAAAAATGTATTGAGATGGTTGAAAATTAAGTACATGCAATGGGAAATCTGTAAGTTTCCTATTTCTCTTTTCCTTCATAAAAGACCGTTGTGTTCCCTTGGTATGCACTATTTGCCGTTCTTGTTTTACTATAATTTCAAAAAAATACTTTTATATAGCCTGTATACCATATCTTAGCGTCATAACATGTACCTGATATATCTCTTTTTACAAAAGTTTCGCACCGGAGACAGTACTGATGTCCACAATGTTTTTTATTTCTTTTTACATTGAAACTTGATGGGTATATAGAAATATTGCCATCTCAGTCCCATCCGGCAGTAAACCGCGTGAATGGCAAGCGCCATGCTCACTACACTTTTAAGAACCTTTCCAACAACTATCTGTGGGGTCCGAAGGCGGCGTGTTTCAAGGCAAACATTCAAGACTATCCAACGTACCTACATTTGCAGTGGGAGTCCAAATTTGCCAGCTTTCATACCGATCGACCTATCTTGCTGAATTGAACCTACCTATGTTTTGTATTAATTGTTAATTTGCTCAGTCTCGTCCAGTAAACGTATGGAATCTTTGCCATTGGATATTAAGCCAAGCAACATTCTATATAAATCTCTTTTGGTTTTTTTTTTTTGGAAATTCAAATATTATCAATCAAAACTGAATACTTTATCAAATCAAAGTTAAAAAAGAAAAAGCTTTTTCCATATATCAGCATATGGACGTTTGAATATGCAATGGACAGTTTTGCGTTGACGTGGTATAACTATTTAGAAGTTTGCGTGTATACAGATGGGCGTAAAGGGGGGGGGGGGGGGGGTATCTGCACGGAAGAACGCGAAATAAAATTGCCATTTCACGATGAACGAACAACTAAAAATTTCTTGCACGTTGATCTTTTTACCGATTTCACGAAACACGGTGAATAACTAACCTTTTTCACGGCTGCACGTGAAATAAAAATGGCAAAACACGTTGCACGAAAATAACCCTTTACCACCCTCTATACAGATATTCAACACGAAAAGCTGGAATATTTGTTATGACACATCCTCACTAGGATGATGCACTGTAAGTTCAATAAATAATCCATTTTGATAAAATAGTCAAAAGAGAAAAAAACCCGAAGGAGGCGACTGCATATATATGGCCTTGAAAAAACCTTGCCTCTAGTCAAGATACCCTGTTCCCTATACAAATATATTAACTAATTCGCACAAGTATACCTTTTTATTCTTTAATCCGCCTAATTAGTTTAAATTCTAGCAAAAAATTAAGGTAGTTAGGTTTTGAGTTACATATTTAAGTACAGTTTTATATTTGTACTTAAGAATCTGTAACAGATACTATTACTAGGCCTAATGCAAACAGGACGGGTATCAGTCCTTTTTTAAGACTTTTTTAACAGTATAAACATGCACATAAAGTTTTATACATTATACATTATCTGAATTGAGAAAATAAAATTTTCTAAATGAATTAAAGTTATAAAATACACATTTTATTTTTTAAATACCCGCTTAGTTGTTCCCAACACTGTTAGTGTGTAATTCTCGTCATGCGCGATTGTCTAACGCTACCGTTAACAACGAGACGCCATGTCGTTAGCAACCCATTGATTGTTGAAAGACTCAATCCAGGTATGTCTCGTTTTACCTATTCAGTTTAAATTTATAACAAAAATGTAACTTTTCCTTCTATTCTGAATAATTTATTGATAATGCAAAGTAATGCATCTTAATTGTATGTTTTTTGTATACTTAAAGAAAAAATATGTACTTTTTATTCATTGTACTTTCGATAATTAAAGGACGGGGAAAGAAAAGAAATTAGTAAAACAATACTATATATCCTTATTACAGAAATTTACGATTTTAATTTTTTAAAGATAAAAGACTTATATTTTGTATTATTCATTGTGCAAATTATTCCTCTTATTTTTGTTACCCATCCTGCAACATATATATGTGACATAATAAGCATATGTAAAACAAAGCGATGACAAGTTAATTACAAATTCAGTGAACTGTATTGAATTATTAATTTCCAATACAGGAATTTGATTTTCAATAACCAGCATGCACAAGTCATATTCATCATTAGTAATTGTACATGTTGTAGTTTGATGGGATTTTCAGATTGCAAACACATTTGACGAGTATTAAGCAAAAAAAAAAAAAAGAAACACCCCAAAACATGGATACTATCTATATATATTATACTCATTATCAGACTTAAATATTCAATAAATGTGAAACAAAATTGCATATATAACCTTTAGTAGTGGCAGAACAAAATTAAAAAGGGGTTGTAGTAAAAGAAACTATATACAAGACTCTTTAATATCACAAGGAAAAGTATATCATATCGATAATGTTTTGACGGATCTGCAACAGACAACCTCATATATCGAAGTGCAATAAAATCGAAATTGATTCAGTTTTGCGAACAAGTGACCGAACGAAAGAAAAAAAAGTAACAATTTCAAAAATGGACGCTGTTTCCTTTCTTATAATTTCAGATTTTTTATGTTTAAATATGTTCTTCTAAAAATGATAAAGAGTCCTTAATGCTGGTTCCCGGCAGTGCCTGTTACCTTCTGTAACTAAATATCAGTGTCTATACACAAAAGTAATTATAACAGTATCAGATATGACTACAGATTTATATCAATTAAAACAGTAATTCAGTGTTCTCTGAATAGTCCAGTCACTAGTTAAGTTTGATTTATACCTGGCTACAGACATATTCACAGCAGTTTTAAAATCAATACACTATAGCGAAAAACATTAATTTACCTTAATTTTCTCCTGACATGCATGAAATATTTGTCACTGGATGTTATGCATGGTAACACTCAATGTTAACCTCTTATGTAGAAGGTGATAGATCATCCCTGATTATTTCTTACTTCATTTGTATATACTCGAACAATAAAAAATACTAACATGGGATCGAAAACAGTCATAAACTATTTAGTGTTTAATCAGGAAATGGGGTCCACTGTACAAATCTTGCACAATTAGTCCCAGTTTTAATAATTTCCGACTGTGACTTGTAAAATGTTGGATTCAAACCCTCAAAATTCTGAATGGGAATTTGACAAATACAATTTTCCGTATATCATTTATAAGGGATAGAGAGTATGAATAGAAAGAGATGTTGAAAATTCGTCAATGAAACAACATCTAAACAATAAAAATGACTTAAAGACATTTAGAGGTCGACATACAATATCTAACGACAGTGTATGTTGCTAGATTCTCTCTCATTTCTCCTTTAATCTTACACTTGATATCTTCTGTCTACAGTTTCCCTGGGTAGCTGGGATAGACCTTATCTTTGCAGAATTTCTTAAATTTTCCCAGCTAGCCATCTTGAGCTCTTAATCCTTTCTTATATTACCCATGAGATGTTCTTAGTTTCCTACGTACCCCCGATGGCCCTTATATAATATGCATTATCGTTTTAAGCTGTCACAGAAAGATTTTAAATTCAAAATTTATTGTAAAAAAAACCAAACGTTTACTTTAAACCAATCTGTTCTTCTTCCAAATATATTATTTGGCGTTAGATTTCTAATGAAGACATGCGTTGAATGGCTTGGCTTGGGAGACAAAATAAAGAAGTAGAGAGTTTGAAAATCTAGTTTTTCCCAGTGGAACATATTTGAGAAGCCCCACACAGTTATATCGAATGTTTTAAATAAATTTTATGACGTAATATCGATTTAAAGATTAACCTAACATGCATAGCTAAAATTATTCAATATTTATATACTGCAAACGCAATACTTCGTAAATAAATTATATAGAATTGGTTTTTAAAATTTTACTTTTAAAACGGCTTTATGATACATAATGTACTGTCATTCAAAATTAAAAGGGCTATATTTTTCTTCACTCAGGAGGAAACTTCGCATGGGTCTTTATGAACTGACTGAGTTATATAGTTGTTTTAAATATGCTTCTTGTTTAAAACACTAGAGACCTCTATGCCTCGAGGATAGTTTCAAATTTCAGGATTGACACCCACCAAGGGGTATTTGTACCTATAACATGTACGCTTTTCCCCGGTAATATAATTCTAATGGACCATTAAGCGGTATTGTAACGGACATGTTTTTACCGACATTTTAAAGGTGAAAATAAGAGTACAGTTATCTTGACGGTATCTTAATATTTTATCTTTCAAGCCGTTGAAATTTAAATAATTGTATCATAAAAAGACAAAATTTAAACTGTCTATAAGTCCCATAAAAGCGACAAAATGACAAGTTTGTAATTAAATCAAACACGTTTAAAAATTGTTATTAAATTTAAAAGTTAGATAATTGGAAGACATTGTGTATTTAAAATGGTGCTTTTGTTGTCATTTCAAAACTTTAAATTGATTTAAAGTTTTTGGATCATTTTAAGAGCACGATGCAAGCATTATGCACAGGTTCTTTTGTTGTCATGCTACTAAGTACTTAGTCATATAATGTAGACAAATTTATGACATAAAAAGTAAATATCTAATAAAAAAAATAAATCATTCAACCAAAATTTTGAAATTTTACATGTTATTTTAGAACACTAAAACGTGATGTTCTTTATGATATATTTATATCATTCTTAAAAAAAATGAGAAGATATATAATAAGAGACTAAGCATAGAAAAGTGCTCAGTCACTTTATATATATTATATTGATCGATTTACTTCTCATACACGTCAAACTATAAAGAAGTTGTACAAATTTTGAAAAGCCATTCTGATATTATGTGAAAATAAAACAAACACTAAATGACTTCACTTCAAACCATTAAAATGATATACAAAAGTTCTAAGGATAAGCTTGATATTCGTTATATTTGCTGACAAATCAGTATTTGAAATTGCCGATCACGACCAAGTTCAGTTAACAAGTTCTTAAATTAACACCGTTAAACATTATAATATATACAATATTATAATTCAAATATTCCACCTCTTAGTAATATTAAATATTAATGCTTAACACCTATGTCAGATCAATTCTTCTTTTACCTTTATTGTGTATTGCCAATAGTGTATTCATGGCCTATTATATTCAATACACAACGGACCTTTTGAATTTAAACAATAGGCGAGTTAGTCGGGAATTAGATATAACTTAGGTCTTATTCAAACAACTTCTGTTTAAATGTAAAAATTGAAGAATATCTGTGTTGCATAGGAAAAACTATTAAAGATAAAATAGTTGGATTAAAGGGATGTTTGAATGTAAACTCTGCACTTCTATTTCCATATTCACCATACGTATCTGTAATACTGATAACATATATTATTTGCAATAAAACATATTGTAATGAAAGAAACACTTAACAGATCGATATTCAAAACAAAATCTACCAGCAGTAAAAAGGAGCAGATTAAAAGATTTAGTTTTGAAAATGAGATTTGAGAGAAAAAAATAATGATCGGGTGTTCACTTTGGCTTTCCATAGATTAGATTGAGGGAGCTGTTAAAAATAGTTAATTTTCATTGAAAAGGGATTTTGTTTTCACACTTGAAAAGATGTGATGAGTTGATAGAATGAAATTAAATCATTCACGATTTCTTCTCCGAGGCAATTCACAATTCGTGACGGGTTCAATCTATGATATGATTCACCAGTCAAATAGAAGCGTCGTGAATATGTATTGACGTTTCAATTCGGTACATTCGTCGTTTCTGAAATAATATAGTAAACGAGATAGAAAAGTAGCATTTGTTTTCTTTTGAAAAAATTCTCAAGTTATTCTGATGTACCGGAAGTGTTTTCCACATGCTTCACTTGTCGTATATTTTTTAAAATTGTGACTTTTACGCCTGGTGACAACGTCTACCAGAAGCATATATATACATCGTGGGAAAGAAAAGGTTTATCCGAAATGCCTAAACTCATCACCTCTTTCCTTCACACAAAAATTAGGAAGTAGTAGTTATTTCGTTAACGCTACCTAATAATATTGAGATGACGTGATTGTTTTCATCAAGACTTAGAGCATTTTTTGATTTTTAAAATGACAGCATTTATCTCAGTGAATATTCTTAAAAAAAACAATTTCGACTTTTAGTACATTGTCAAACGAATCTTGTTGTCACGGCGACTCGTCACTTGTAGACGCATGTAGCATAAGTTATGATATTGCAACACTGTAATATTTGACAATAATGCCTTGGATGATATTTTTGTTGTTATCTTTTTTCATGAATGAGTATAAAACAATATGATCCAAACCTAATCAATATTTTGTAATTTCCGAATAATAGTTAATTTTTCCAGAGAAAATATCTTGATGTATTCCTCGAGTTGTTGTCCTTTCTATATAGTTATCTTATTAATTAAACTCCTATTGTCTATTCTAGTTATCTCATACTACTTCCATTATAAATACGACAATAATCATTTCTTGAAACACCTCCACAGAAGTTACAACTGCGTAATTCTAAATTTGATAAGCCTCGATTTGAAAAGTAGTGCGAGAACGAGGCATATACCATACCTCAAAATCAGCTTAGACATCTACTGTTTGGATCAATGCTTAAGATTAAATACTTATCGAATTATGTCCAATAATATATTAATCTTTTTTTATATTGCATACTTGATTATTAATCGTCTGTGTTCGATT